TAAACCCGAAACCCTAAAGCCTTGAAGCTTCCCAAAGGAAAACCCGCCTAACGCAGGTACACACCGTAATGGTGAGGTGGCCAAACTTTGCAGACCCCACTGCGATGATGCACCTGCATTTCAAGCGTAGGGATGGATGGCTTTTCTCTTCCAGGGTTTGGCGGGGTTGAACCCTAAACCCTAAACCCTAAACTCTAAAAACCTAAACCCTAAACCCTAGAAACTTAAACCCTAAACCCTAAGCCTCAAACAAAAAAGAAGCCCTTGGCCCTCAACTCAACCTGCTAAGGGGTTTTGTCTCGAGGATTTTTCCTATTTAGACGGAAGTTTGGTCTCGCCATTATGTCAGGCTTTTCGGGTTTAGGGTTTAGAGATGTTTAGAGTTTAGGGTTTAGGTTTTTAGGGTTTGGGGTTTAGGTTCGAACCCAGGTACGAGAAATTGGAGTTTGCCATTCCAGGCATTGAGGCCGCTGGATATGGAAATGGAATGCTTTGGTTTCGCCTCTTTGTGTAGCTGTTGTGATGATTATGGCTATCATGATTGCTTTTTTGGGTTCAAGAGTAACCCTAAGCCTTAAACCCCAGGCTTAAAGCTCAGATACGACCGCTAAACCCTAAACCCTAAACCCTAAATACTACGGGGCAGCTGAGGCCTTAACGGCTTACAGCATATCGATTGACGAGGTGTGCAAGACACTGCGCTGGTTGAGGACCCTCGAATGCATCGCTTTCCCCCACTCCTTGAATTTGGAGAGCGCCTGAACCGCATTTGACGGTCCTTCAAATCCTCCGACGGGTTCATAGGACAAAGTAACTAGGGGTCCAACATGCGAGCCATGCTCGCAAAAACTTATGACTGCAATTAAAGTACTTATGACCTTACTTGCTAAGTCCCATACTGTTCGAATCCCCATGAACCCTACCCTCAACCGGAAACCCCTAAAAGGCCTAAACCCTAAACCCTCTAATAACTTTAGTTACCAAGTGCCATGATCCTGCTAGCTGGTTTCTAAAGTAGGCGTAGGCTAGGACGTCGTCGTTTTGCTTCGGAGCTCTTCACAGGGGCGTATTTTGAATTCTCTCTCCTTTGGAGGGACGCGTAAAACACCCCCCATTTGCCAGATGGTTGAGACACTAGTGGCAAAGTTGTCGCCAGAACCCTAAACCCTAAACCCCAAACCCCAAACCCTAAACCCTAAACCCTAAACCTCCCAGGCATTGGCCGGGTGTGCGATGCCTTGACCGGAACAGTCCGGCCCTGCCTGGAGAGAACAGCTCGCCCGGACTGTATCCTGGCCGCCTCAATAATAAGGCCTTCATAATTGGAATAGGGTTGTGGGGTGAAGTACAGTATAGTTATACTATCTGGGTTCTGGAGTACCCTACTTGAATACTTTTTTTTGGACCTGTTCCTTAAAGGAACCACTATAAGAAACAAGTCTCTACCTTCTTTCTCCCTGGTTACTTCAAAGTCCAGGTATCATTCTTGTCGATCCTGCCAATCAGGAAGCGGTGGCAACAGCACACGTACTCTTCGAACTTCTGAAGCTGAGCAATCAAGTGCGAATGTCGCCCTCGGTGCTGGAGGCAGGTGATGACATTCCGAGCAACATCTCGAAGGCGCTGCTTGTGTGCTCTGCCGGATGCTTCCATTCAGAGGCCCTTGCATCATGGCTCATCCGTCTTTTTTCTGCGCCGCAGCCAGCCATCCTTCCCATCATTGCGGATCCAGATTCTGGTCACGAAATCTACTTGTTATTACCGTTACAATAAACCAGCCTGTGACGATGTATGCCTATCATGGTAGCCCCCAGGCCCTAAACCCAAAACCCCTAAACCCCTAGACCCTAAACCCCTAAACCCTCAACCCTAAACCTAAACCCCTAAACCTAAACCCCTAAACCCCCTGAACCTTAAGCAAGAGCTTAGGACTTCGTTGTGCCTGTGGTGCCTTTTGAGAATGCAGTGGCTGGGGTCGCCGGAAGCTTCACCGATGCAGAGATGGCAAGCTACCCCCAAGCAGTGGAAAGCATTTTCCAGGAAATTGCAAGTGTCTTAGCGCCTCAATCATATTCCAGTACACAAGAAGCTTGGACTTTTTTGCAGGCCGATTTTCCTTGATTTACAAAGAGAGTCAGCATGCAAGCACTGTTGCCATTACCACCACCACCAGCATGGTCCCGGTGTCCACAAGCACCTATCGTCATGGGTGCAATCGTAGTTATTTCGGTAACCTGACGACGACGATAATGAGGATTGTCATGAAGATGATGCTGCTGCTGGTGGTAGTGCCGATGGTGGTGTTGGTAATGGCCAGTACGTGTTTGATGATGGTGGTGATGATGGAAGGACCATCACTGTCAGCTCTGTCGTCCTCATCGCCGGCCTTGTCAGGATGGCGATGACGATGATGCTGATGATGGCCATGATCATCACCATCTTCATGCCACTATCTTATCACTCTCACTATCACGTCCGCTACCACGATCACCAGCTTCATGACCATCACTATCATTACCACTACCAGACTCAGCACCACCATCACCATCATCAGCATCATCACCATCATCACCATCATCACCATCATCACCATCATCACCATCATCACCATCATCACCATCATTACCATCATCACCATCATCACCACCATCACCATCATCACATCATCACCATCATCACTGTCATCACCGTCATCACCATCACCGCCACCGTCACCGTCAGCATCAGCATCAGCATCAGCATCAGCAACACCAGCAGCACCAGCAGCACCAGCGGCACCAGCGGCACCAGCAGCACCAGCAGCAGCAGCAGCAGCAGCAGCAGCAGCAGCAGCACCGCCGGCACCGCCGCCACCGCTGCCACCGCCACCACCGCCGCCACCGCCGCCACCGCCGCCACCGCC